GGTAAGGTAAGGTAAGGTAGGGTAGGTAGGTAGGTAGGTAGGTAGGTAGGTGGGTAGGTAGGTGGGTAGGTAGGTAGGTAGGTAGGTAGGTAGGCAGGCAGGTAGGTAGGTAGGTAGGTAGGGTAGGTGGGTAGGTGGGTGGGTGGGTAAGTGGGTAGGTGGGTAGGTGGGTAGGTGGGTAGGTGGGTAGGTGGGTAGGTAGGGGTAGGTGGGTAGGTAGGTAGGTAGGTAGGTAGGTAGGTAGGTAGGTAGGTAGGTAGGTCGGTCGGAAATGGATGTATAAATCTATGCATGAGTGTCATTGCCTTTTCGACATGCGTGTACGCCATGGATGCGGCGTTTAACACCAGCCTGGTGTGCAATAAAGTGTTGCCTTTCGGTGCATGAGGTGGCTAAAACACACCACTAGATACGACAACAGCAGTATAGATGGGTGCATGCTTGTATATGCGAGTTGAGCGGTATGTTGTGCCAAGAAAAATATGCATGTCCACATACTAACACGTGCAAATAGATTAACCACAAGCACCCTCATGTATGTATATATATATACATATACATATACATGTATACTGATTTATACCCCCTACACACAGAGAGACCTACTTATAGACGAAACTGTCTGGTTGATAGAGGTCCTGCGAGAGAGAGAGCGAGAAAGAGACAGAGAGACAGAGAGAGAGAGAGAGAGAGAGTGAGGACGCTAGACTCAAGTGCTAGTAAAACTGAGGTGCCACCGGAGGAGAATGCAAGTCACCAGAGTTTAGGGTCTAGGGGTTTAGAGCTGAGGGTGTGATGACCCAGGTCCTCCCCACCCTGAGCGGAGAGGAGTGCTTTGACCTTGGAAGAAAAGGTCCGAAGAACAACTCCGAAACTCTTTGGGGATACGGTGGAAAATAAGTCTCTTTCCTGCTACAAAGCCGCCCAAGGCTCCAGGGACCTGTACAGTATATAGTTCAGTAGACGTTAAAGGGGTTCCTATATTATAGGCACTGCAAGGCCCAGGACCGGAACGCATTTGTTTTGCAGGGTTCAGAGAGTTGGGCTTGAAGGCATTAGTTGGCGTGCAGGGATGTTTGGGGTTTAGGTTTTGAGTTCGGAGTCAGGCTGAACTCAACAGTCTAGAGCCTTTACGTCCGGGCCCCAATATAAAGGTCTAAATAAACAAACGAGTTTTGGGATACACACGCAGGAGGCTGCACAAGTTCGTCTACGGTGGGGAAGCCGAACTGGCGTGCTAAACTCGAACGCCTAAGTTTTACTTCGCATTCCCTACACCCTAACCTTAGACCCTAAACCCTACATCCTGCAGCCCTAAAGGGAGGAACTTGCCCTTGTGCTTCTACGGTGTCGACTTGAACCGTGGACCCATGAATCAGGAGCTTAGACCCCAGATCCTAGAAACCATACAGAAACCCCAACCCTCCAGGTACCTACCAAAAAGGGCCTAGGGGCTCTAGTACCCTACATAGTAGGTACCCGGGAGGTTACAGAAAGATCTGAATTCCAATCCCCCACCCCAGGGGTCGAAAAGACCTAGTAATATCGTACTTGGGTTTAGGATAATAGTTGTGTGGGTTTTTGTGGGTTAGTATTTGGGAGAGTATATGATTCTTAGAGGCTTGGACCCTTAGCGTTGATTCTTAAAGGCTTGGACCCTTAGCGTTATCTTCGGAAGCCTCTTTATATGAGATTAACTTGAAAGAGATGCAGCGCCTAAAGAAGCCACCTGCTTGAGGGCTACGGTTTAGGGTTTAGGGTTGACTAAGCAACCCCAAAAAGGTAGGTTAACCTTCTAAGGACCTATTCCTAGGAGATCATAAGAAGGAATCCTCAACAGGTGGGGTTATACAGGGTGAAGTTACGGGCTTGTGGCCTGGGGTGTTATCAAAACCCGTACCCAGAGGGTCCATGTACCCAAACAGTAGGCCCCCAAATCCATATTCTGAATTGTCGAAAACAATGGGTTTTCGACACCCAAACCCATAGTCTGAGTGGTTTTGGGACTTTGAAACCCTATTCTTTGGATCCCTAAGCCCTAAACCGTGAACCCTAAACTCCCAAACCCTAAACCCCTAAACCCCAACCCCTACTGTTTGGACACAAGAGCCGAAGCCCCGTGAGCCCGAAAAGCCCGAGCGCAAAGCGCAAAGCCCTCAGACCCCAAAGCTCGGAGACCCGAAAGTCTAAAAAGCCGAAACCCGAAGGGTCCAAGAAACTTTTTAGGGTGTCAGGGTTTAGGGTTTAGGGTTTGAGGCTTTAGGGTTTAAGGTTTAGGGTTTAGGGTTTGAGGCTTTAGGGTTTAAGGTTTAGGGTTTAGGGTTTGAGGCTTTAGGGTGTCAGGGTTTAGGGTTTAGGGTTTGAGGCTTCAGCGTTTTGGGAATGCAGGGTTGAGGCTTTAGTGGCGGAAGGTCTGGCACAAGAAGCCGGAATGCCCCATGTTAGCCCTCCTGAACCCTGATTCTGGCCACCACCTAATCTAGGGGCCTTAATTATCTTTGTTATAGGGTTTTGGGGTACATATTATACTAAAATTTTAACAAGGAGACCCCCAAAACAGTATAGGTAATCATTTAGGCTCCTACATTAGTCTCTGAAGCGGAACTTCTAAAATCAAAAGCATTCAGGGCCTCAATGCAGGGTCTATTGTGGGTTTTTTGGTTACGGCACCGTGTTCGGAGGCGTGGAGTTCAGGGCGTAGGGTTTCAGAGCACCTGCGTTAGGGCTGTCCCTAAACCCTAAACCTTACGCGCCGGGCCTTGCTGTCTGATGCGCGTGAGGCGTAGTCCTGCAATGGGCTTCGGGCTGTCGCCGCTTTACGGCTTCGGTCTTTGGGTTTAGGGTTGAGGGGCTTATAGGGTTTAGGGTCTAGGGTGTAGGGCTTATAGGGTTTGGGGTCGAGGGTTAGGGCTGATAGGGTTTAGGGTCTAGGGTTTAGGATTGGGTTCGGCGGCTTCATGCATGTGTGTTTTGGAAGTTTCGGTTGTGCACTGCTGGTGGTTTAAAGCCCTAAACCCTTAACCTTAAAGCCTACACCCTTAACCTTAAACCCTAAACCCAAAGCCTAAACCCAAACCCCTAAACCTGAAACCCTTTGGGACTGTGCGTTTCGGCAGTCTGCATCGGGGCCACTGTGGGCTTAGGGGACTCCCTGGTGATGAGTAGGGGTTGAAGGTTTAGGGGTTGAGGGTTTAGGGGTTGAAGGTTGGGGTTTAGGCTTGAGGGGTGGCCCGACAGTTATATGTTAGAGTAAGGTTGTGGGGTCGATTATACTATCATTATAATAAGGCCCCCAAGGAATAAGGTGAGTAATCATTTATGCTTCTACATTTACTGAAGAAATGCCCGAGATGCCCTTACCACGGTACTGCACGAGCTTTTGGCCAAGGGCTCATCTCTAGGAAACCCTGGGCCTTTAGTTTGGGTTTCGGGTTTAGGGTTTAGGGCTTTGGGTTTAGGGTTTTGGGTTTAGGGTCTAGGGCTTGGGATTTAGGGTTTAGGGTTTAGGGTTTGGGATTTAGGGCTTAGGGCTTAGGGTTTAGGGTGCGGCAAGAGCTTTTCAGCTTGCAGGTCCGGAACGACTCAGAAAGATGTGCCGAAAGGAGCTGACCGACGTCAGACCCTGCCGGGTGTCAGAGTCCTCGGACAGAAGCTGCAATATAGGGGCCTTAACAATTAGAATAGGGTTTTGGGGCCCATTATAGTAGAATTACAACAAGGAACCCCAACATAACAAAATTGGACCCCTAAATAATATTAGGGTTTGGAGTAGAGCTACCGAAATGCTCAATCCCGCAAACACAGAACCCGAGCCCCCAGAACCAAGCATGTTTCCTTGATGCCCGCTGCTGTGGAGATACCAGCGCCAGTATAAGCAACGGTATAGCTGCTTTGCCTCGTGGCAAACCACGCTTGAGAAGGGGTTTAGGGCTGATGTAGGCTTTCGTGGTTGAGGGTTTAAATCTTAGGGAGAACGGTTGTAGGCGATAGGGCATTGGCTTGGGGTTAAAAGGCCTGTAAAAGTTACGACAAGAAGGAGGTGGGCTACTTCGCATGATACCGAAAGTATCACTTAATTAATTTAACGGCCATACCTTTAAATCAAAATAGCATCCCAATATGATTAAGTGTAGATTCCTTAATGGGAATATTGGCAGGTCTGTGCGAGACAGCTGCATAGCTGCCGCAAACAATCCTACGGTCACCCTAGCACAGAACCTCTTCCTGAGCTTCAGAAGATCAAACTTCTCAGTCAGATTCTGGGAAAAAACCTAAACCATGATCCCCAAACGGGTTCAGGGGTTTAGGACCCTGAACCCCGAATGTTGGAGTCTCGCCGACTAGCCGCTTCTTCCGTTCGAATCACACGAAAGCAAGATCGTGCAATGTAGTGCTACCCAGGTTTGTTTTTGTCACCTCTTTTCCACCTGCCTGATAAGTTAGGTCGAATGCCAATTTGGCTGAGGCTTCGGGCAGCCGCTTCAAGATCCCTCAACAACACACAAACCTACTAGGGGCCTATTCACTCCTGTTCAGCAGCTGACCACCCATCGGAGCTGCGCTCAACAACGGGCACACATGCATCGATTCAGCTCCCGTCACATCCCCAACAAACTAAAACTGAAGTACCCCTCCCTACCTGGGAACCACATCCGAGGAGAGCCAAAGCGAGACCAAATTAAGGGCACAGCCATCCCTCAGGTTTCACTCACACACAGTCCCGGTATCCCTCACACGAGCAAGCCTCAACCTTATCATAGACAACGAAATGTGCTAAGGAGGTAGTTCCCGAGGCCTCCATGGATGAGCGGATGGCGAAAAGCAAACAGAACTGTACACTCCGAATCGGCCCGGACAACTGTGAACTGGCAGCTACTCTGGCACCAGCGGAGTACGAGAAAACATTTATACATGCTGAACCGAAAACAAATTATGCACCAGTGAGCTGAACAGTTGTGGCAACGGAGGCTTCCATGGGTGTCTGGCTAATTTCGCTGCGTCGGACCAGTACCGTAGGGAGGTAGTAGGACCTTAGGAGACCGGAAAGGGGTCCGCCAATAAGAGCATTGCTACCTAGTCACTAGTGTCCGACGACGGCGATCGAGAGCGAGACGACTCCATGCTACGGGCCGCAGCCTCCTGCTGTCTTCTCTCGCGCCATTGGCGTCACCACGGGGATGAATCGATGCACTAGGCTCTTGAGTGTCTCAGCACTTGTCTTTCGAGGTGCTTGAATGTTTCTGGGCTTGTCGAAGAGCCACACCCCACTCTCCTGATCCGTCGCTTTGACTCCATGCCTGATGTAGGCGAGCGCCTCTTGCACCTTGTTGTGCGTCGTGTCTCGCTGGTAGAGTGTTGCATGGTGAATCTTGAGCGACTCAGGCAGCTTGGCCAGGTTTAGGACTTAGGGTTTAGGACTTAGGGTCCCCAATCATACATCGCCAGCTCTGAAGGAGTTTCAGAAGATATGGGATCCCAAATAGCAAGATGCGCATTACTATTGTAAGGGCCCTTAGAAAAAGGATACCCTGCGGGCAAAAGCAACATGTTGAGACCACATGGAATAGGAACTACACTGCTGGGTTCTTGTGAGTGCAGGAAGGGCAGGTTAGGACTATTGATGCTCGTATATTTGGGGCTTTGCAAGTTTGCACTGAGAAGCCTAGCATTAGCCCTATAAACCCTAAACCCTAAACCCCAAAGCCTAAACCCCAAACCCTATACCCTAAACCCCAAACCCTAAACCCCAAACCTTATAAACCCTAAACCCCCAACTCGAACACCCGAAAACCTAAACCCCTCAAGCCTGCACCCCAAACAACTTAAACTCTGCACCCTGAAACCCGAAACCCCCGAAACACCTGAACCTCTAAACCCTGAACCCTGA